CTCTCTCTCTGCAGACGGGTTTGAAAATTTATTGCCGTTGATATTGCGGTTTTTTGGTGGAGATACCAGTCGCGAGGTCTGCGCGAGGTCACGAGGCAGAGAGATAAACGATGCCGCTCCCGCCGTTTCTCGTACAGATGTTCTTGAATCTGCTCTCTCTCTCTCGAGAGAGAGGAGAATTTACAATGGGAATTTCGAGCATGAGTTGTCAAAGCGATCAGTGCCGCGCCTGTTTATATTGTCGGGCCACGTGTTAATTGTTAATCGTTTTTGCTCGTTAGATGAATGTTTTAGATAAATTTCGCACGTCGAAGATTCTTATTTGCATCTGGATCTGGCGAGGGGGGGGGGGGGGGAGAGATGATAACCGCTGGTTCGACACATTTCCGGCGTAATTTTTCACCGCGACGATACGAATTGTTAGCCAGCCGGTTGAAAATAAATCATCGATATTCTTCCGCTTCTTATCGAAACGCGATATCGAATGTAGGTCAAACGAGACTTTATGTAACCTCGCATTGCGACTCTATCCCTCCGCTCCGCGTTATAAAATGAGAAAACTGGACCCTTGTCGCTCCCTTCGTTGACTTTTCGTTCCTACGTGTAGCGATCGCGAATCAGCCAATGGACCGTGTTACACAATTCTATCTGCCAAGCCAAGAATCGGAAGAAATCGACGCCATTTTTACCGCCGGCAATCTGCGTTTCTCGAATGCGTACACATTTTTCTCAACGTTAGTCAGCGAAACACCAAAGGGAGATAATGAAAACTCTTCGATAGCCCTGTGAGGCAATCATCTTGACATTCGATTCGTATGATATTATTTACGCGGTTGAATTTGCAGGCAGCGCATCCACAGATGGGAAGGTGCAATTGCAGATCATCTGCCAGCCAGAGCAGCAGCACAGAGCTCGCTATCAGACGGAAGGGTCGCGAGGTGCAGTGAAGGACCGAACGGGAAATGGATTCCCGATCGTTCGCCTCGTTGGTTACGAGAAACCGACCACCCTTCAAGTTTTCATCGGCACGGACCTCGGCCGTGTCGCGCCTCATATGTTCTACCAGGCGTGTCGCGTGAGCGGCAAGAACTCGACGCCATGCATCGAGCGAAAAATCGACGGCACGATCGTGATCGAAGTGGACATGGATCCAGCGAAGGACATGATGGTCACGTGTGACTGCGTCGGTATCTTGAAAGAGCGGAACGTCGATGTGGAGCACAGATTCCCTCAGGAAGCCGGTGTGCTCCAAGGACGTAGCAAGAAGAAGTCGACCCGATGTCGTATGGTTTTTCGTACAACGATCAGCCATCCCGACGGTGCGTCGGAAACTTTGCAAGTCTGCTCGCAACCGATCGTTTGCAGTACGTATCACCGATCATTTCTTCCCATTACTTTTGATTTTCGTGAAAGTTCGCCGATACGTTGCTGATACACGTTGATCGATTGTTTCAGCTCAACCGCCGGGTATACCAGAGATCTGTAAAAAATCACTCACATCCTGCCCGTGCACCGGAGGATTAGAATTATTCATACTCGGCAAGAATTTCCTGAAAGATACTCGCGTGGTGTTCCAACTGGACAACGACGATCTGTCGAGTAGCTTGGAGCCGCATTGGGAGTGCGCGGTCCTGCCCGATAAGGAATTTCTGCAGCAAACTCATCTGGTTTGCGTGGTACCTGCCTATAGGCGGCAAGATCTGGCACCCTCGGAAACCGTCAGCGTGAAATTGTACGCGGTATCGTCTGGAAAGACGAGCGAACCTCACACATTCCTCTACACGGCTGCATCCACGCCACCTGAGCCATCCGTTGGCAAAATCGAGCCAATAACTCCACCTTTGTCCACCACTAACGGCGATACAGCTCTAGCAACGTCTCCTGTCGCGGTGTCTCTAACTACAGGTGTATCATCGAACAGTAAGTGAATTGCTTTCACACACTATTCTAGTCTTCTCTTGATTAAATTCGCCACAGAAGATAATATCGTAAGTAATAAATGTTATATAGGAGGTGATGATGTGTTTCAGCTTTGATTACACAAGCAGCCGCAGGGACACCGAATTTCTTGACCACTATACAGCCGCAGCAATCAACGTCGCAAAAGACGGAAGCTCTTAAGAGCGATCCGAGCCCGCCACCGGTGACGGCATCCTCTCAGGTAACGCCAGTTATGATATGGGCTGCGCAAAGTCCAAATTGCCAAAATTCATCGCCTGACGTGATGATGCCGCCGCCAGCATTGGTAGCGAATCCGCTTTTGAATCGCAGATCGTCTTCGAATCTTCAATTAATTCTGCCAGATAATTTGAAGACCGAGGTACTAGATGAAAATAGCGAGAACAGTATGATTAGCGAGAACAGCATGCAAAGCATACCGACGCCGACTGCGAACGGCTCGAATGGCGCCAGCCCGTTGCAACAGCTCGTCAGCGAGGGCTCGAGGGAAACGCCGCAGGCTAATATGATCAGATCGGTTCCTGTTGCGGCGAACAGTTCACCGGTGCAGGAGGCGGTGAATCTCCTCGGCGTGGCGGATCTAATGCGAAACCCGCACCCGTTGTCGATGGTCACGGCACACCAGAACACCTTCGGAGGTATGCACGAATCGTCTCAAGTCAAAGTTCTAAGTCCTCATCATATCAACAAAGAAACTAACCCGATGTTGCCGACAGAAGGCAGTCCTAATGGAGGAAGTCTTCAGGCTGGCGGTGTTGTCGACCTTCGCATGAAGCATCACCAATCGGATTTCGGTACATTGACGAACTTTACCGCTACACCGAACGGGCAGCTACCTGCGCAGAGCGGGCATAGCGTAGAGAAATATCTCAACCATATTGAATCGAACGTGAAAGATGCTGCTGAGAGCCAAGAGAACGGATTCGTAGGTGGCCTACAACAACGAGCTTCCATTATTACTACAGGACGGCAGTCTCAACAAGGACAAGCTTCCAATATTTTAGCTTCTCCCCCTCAAGGCGTCAAGTTAGACACCCTCGTCAGTTCTGGCGCTGAATCTCATCAGTTGGTGTCGCCGCTGCGTACCGTGAATCCCAACAGTAATACCATAATGAGCCACGTGTCCGCAATTACCGATCACGAAACGATCTCCAGTCCACAAAATAAAGCTAGCCCACCCATTCCTGTCAAGGCGATGCTTCTCGAAGCGTTGATGCCGCCTCAAACTGTGCCACCGTTGCCAGGAAATGGCGCGACGTCTGTCTCGCCGCCATCGTCGGTAGTCGCCGAGCAAACTAACGACGACAGTCTGCTCACTACGATCAACGCCGCCCTTTTACCGCCGATGCAGGAGTCGCCCGTGACTGCGACCGGTACGTCGAATTCTAATGTTAGTGTACCGTCTCATAATCCGTTACAAGTTACGAGCGAGAGTATGTCGACAGCGTCGGAGCACATTCCGCAGATCCCTGGTCTTATACAGCAAGATGTTGTAGCGATGCAACAGGTGCAACAGGTGGAACAGGTTGTCGCGCAGGCACAGCAGCAGGTTGAACAAGTTGTCGCGCAGGCACAGCAGCAAGCGGTGCAGGCTGTACAACAGGCGCAACAGCAAGTCGTTCAACACGTGGTGCAACACGCCCAGGTTGTTCAACAGGCTGTGCAGCAGGTGCAAGCGGTACAGCAAGTTCAAGCTGTACCGGCTGTTCAACAGGCGGTGCAGCAAGCCACGCAGGAAGTGGTTCAGCAGGCGGTGCAGCAAGCTACGCAGGAAGTTGTGCAACAAGTTCAAGCGGTTCAGCAAGCGGTGCAACAAGCGCAAGCGGCTCAAGCGATGCAACAGGCGGTGCAGCAAGATATCGGTTCCATGTTGAATCAGCCTGCAGGTTTCGTTGCTGAAGCTAGTTCCGCTTTAGCCAGTGGAGCGGCCCAGGAACCGTCACAACAAAGGCTAACCAATGCTGCAGAACAAGCGATCAGTAGTGTAATTACTAATGCTACTCAAGATATTATTAACAATCGACCCATTACTACGACAACCGCGCATGCCATTATCGCAACGAAGAATATATTAAATAGTGTGGCCACTCAAAGTGCCCAATTGATGAACAGTGCTATGGAGGGAATTTTGCCTAAATCACCTTCCGGCCAAAGTAATATCGTCGAACAGGTGACCAGCAAGTCACCGCCGGTTGCCTTGCCTGTGACGCCCAACAGACAAAATGTAAACCCACCTATAGCGAACGCGGCTAATAGTGCAAACGGTACAACGGTTAGAAAGCAGGAAGACGGTATGTTGCCTCAAGAGCTTACCTCGATGTCGGATCATGATCTGTTAAGCTACATAAATCCGAGCTGCTTCGATCCTCAAAACGGTTTTCTTGTGTAGTACTGCCGTTAAAATTCTTGTCGTTAAAATATAATTGTGTATTCGATGTATATTCGGATATGGAGAGAGGGCGTGAAAGTAAGAAAGAGTGAAAAGACGAGCGAGAGGAAGAGAGACAAAAAGAATGAGAGAACGAATGAACGAATGATAGTATGTAATTAATTCCAATCGGTCGGGTATGAGAGATATAGTCTTGGCTCGGTACGAGTTATATATTTGTGCCACATTGTCGTTTCAGACTTTGTATGTGATAGTTACGAAATCCGTTTTTATATGATGAAAATGGACGAAGTTAGCACCACCTTTATAACAATTGAAAACTTTTAATGTGTTAAGTAAGACGGGCGCACAAGAGCGCGACAGTTAGGATTTTCTTTATCTTCCTTTTTCTACGAGTTGTCAAATGTGATAATTCATTTTATTTATCTCCATCAAATGTCTCTTGCGCATCCAGGTGCCTTTCCCCTGTTGCAAAGTATCTGAAAATGGTCTTTCTCGTTGCAAAAAAAAAAAAAAAAAAAAAAAAAAAGGAACGTTGTAAGTATGTTACACGTATGTATGTATTGTAATAATCAACAAAAGTACTGACCCCACTCAACTCTAAACG